GTATATATATTATTTATTTATTTATTTTAATTTATTATTATTTATTTATCTTTGTATGGGTGGTTCAAAAGCTGTGGGAGGAGCAGTGAATGAAAACTGCGACAGAAATGAAATGACAGCCAAATAGTGATAAAGCTGCTTTAAGTTTTCTGCATCAGCTACTTAACCTCTGTAATAAAATTGAGCACAGAACAAACACTGAGGCAGATTGTGCACACTTAATTTAAAAGTAAAACAAAAAGTTGTGCGCTCTAAAACACCCAGGCTAATAGAACAAGTTGCTCATCTAAAAAAAAAAAAGTCTTTAAAAATCACAGTGTAAATGAGGATTTATGCATTTCTTTCTCATGTCCTCACTTGATGTTTAATGATCAATGCAAAGCCACTCATGAATGCTGGTACAGACAAATGAAGCTACCGATTAGAGAAACTAACAGTGAATCAATGCAACAGCAGAGAAGAAAACCAAAAAGGAACTTTTTTTTTCTGACGCGTAAATCGAGAAGCTGACAGGGAACTCTGCTGCTCCCTGGATGCTCGCTCTGTCTCACTTCTTCAATTAACGGCGTCCTCCTGCAGTGCCAGTGCATCCTTCATTCAGCAGCACACCCGGGTCTCGCTGTAGTATTTATAGCCTGTATTTACAGTCAACAGCCTGATTACTTCACACTTTGCAAAAATGATCATAACAGCCAGTCTTACAACAATGAGTCCCCCACACTCATTCAAAAACATACATTTAATAGCTGAACACAATGGAACAAACACACTTTACATGCATTATTAATGAAGTGAAGGTGATGAGAAAAGTTAGGAGTGCCTTGAGTTGTTTTAAAAGCATTGCAAGCACATTTACTATAAATGTTTTTATACTGCTGTGAATCTGTCCCAGCATCACCTGACCTCTGAAACAGCCATGGGGCTCCACAGTGACCCTAAAAGTCATCTGCAGCCCAGGCTCCCCTCTGTGTTCCAGATGCTGCTGAAATACTGAGCAGCATCCCTTCTGAAGTTTGAGTTGAGCTCTGTCTTCTGCAGCTGACAGATGCAAAGTGGGTTATTCACGTCACAAGTAGACAAGTAATGCTGCGTTGAAAGGATTATTTATTTAACCTTTATTTATGCAGGTTAGGCTCATTGAGTCACAAGGACTCATTTACAAGAGAGACCTGTTTCAGACAGACAACATATGAAGTACAGACAACGATATGTTGGGGGCCGAGATGGGTAGAGGCAGGGCAGCCGACCCAGGACCCGACAGCCCAGGGCTTGATCCCCAGTCATCCCCACATGCCGTGGTTTCTCTGAGCAAGTCGCCCAATCCCCAATTGCTACCGGGGCGCCCACATAGCTGCCCACTGCTCCACCTGGATGCATCACAGGTGCGATGGCTTAAATGCAGAGAACCATGGGAACATACAATGATGACAACACATAACACTTTTATTATATACAACAATAAAAGCAATGAAAAAAAGGAGTGTTATAATAACAATCAAATCAAGGTGCCATATAAAACAAGGTAAAATTCTAAAAACAAGAACATATTACATAACAACATACCGGTACTAATGTGTTTTTTGTAGTGTTTGTACCCAACATGAGTCAGATATCAGCTTTTATTTTGAAAGCACTTTGCAAGCTTGCCTACCACGTTTCCTCTGACAAAAGCATAAACAGCGTTCAGATTCAGAACACACGACCTGCAGATGTGGACAGTAACCGTGGTAACGGACCACAAACCTCCACACCTCAGTCTGTTTAACAACAAACCTGAGAACTGAACACTTTAGTTCTGTGTGACCTCTCTTTGGTCATTATAAGGTCATGGGTCAAATCCTGAACAGGGTTTTTGAGTTTGTGGCAACTCATTGGGGGCAAGCAAACTCCACTTGAGTTGGGTGCAGGACGGTGTCAGGTAACTGTAGCTTCATGTATAAAAGCAGCCTAATACCACAGTAAAGTTGGAGTTCAACCTGTAAAATTCTGACATTATTATGATGAGAACGATCTGAATGTATGAAACAAGTCCGTTTTTTCTTCACCAAAGGTTTCCTCGCAGGTGCACACACATTTTATTGTTTGATTTCCGTTTTAAAATTGCACCAAAAGGATCAAACGCCTCTTTCTGCCCGTAATCAACCTAAACGAGGCCGCCCAGTCAAAGTGAGCTGCACATGTGAGGTTTTGAAACGTGTGCTTCAATCAGACGGAGGTGAAATATTTACTTCTGGAATGTTCCGCCTTTCTTTAGGAATTTGGTTTGACAAAGAACATAAAAAGAGAAAAATATTAGTTTTATTTCAAATCTGTGTCAGACTAGTTTGTTGTTAATTTTCCTCAAATGTGAACATTCTTGATTACAGCCTTAAAATCAAGATAATATGTTTCGTCTTCTGTGGTCTCTGTGTAAAGGGTCATGCTGTATTTCTTTTTGAAGTGGGCTACTGTGGAGAAGTTACGTATAGTCAGTACTATACCTGCAGTAGATAGCAATGAGAATGATAGTCAATACTGTATTTTTCAGACTATAAGGCGCACTTAAAATCCTTAAATTTTCTCAAAAATCGACAGTGAGCCTTATAATCCAGTTCATCATATGTATTAATTCTGGTTGTGCTTACTGACCTTGAATCGATTTCATGTAGTACAACTGAACAATGTTGAGAGTTATTGTGAATGAGTTGAATAAAGTTTGACTTATCTGACTGTTTTGTTTTGCTTAATGCACCTTATAATCTCGTTCACCTTATGTAAGAAAACAGACCCGTTCATTGATATTGTGCCTCATAGTCTGAAAAATACGGTACTAGTTTTCACCTGTCGAGCTAACAGCTGGTCTGAGAAGAGGCAAAACAAAGTACTGTAGATTTCTGCTGTGCTAAAATTAAATAAAAACAAATTACTTCTAATCAAATCAAGTCAATCTTTATTTGTATTGTGCTATTCAAGGTGACTGAAAAAGCTTTCCAGAGACAAAATAGAATCAAAAACATACAACAAGATAGAATAAACAATCAAAACTATAAAATAGTAAAAACAGTTATGCAGGACTTTGAATCAGTTCAAAATACATGTCATTCAGGTGATATGTTTTAAAACAGTTCCAGTCCAACAAGATTCATACTGATTTATGCAAACTGTATTTTAATACCCTTTACACCTCATGATTTGCATTAGATCCCTAATTACATAGAAAAGCATGACCATATTAACTGTTTGTTCAAAATTAAATCATGCAGAGTTTTGCACTTTTCCCTCACTCTGGCTAACTTAGCATGTTTTGTTTAATAGCGGTTGTTACACATGGACTTTTATTAGCAAATGATTGTAGAATGACTCCGTTTCAGTGTGAATAATGGCGGATTAATACATTTTTAGGTGTGTAAAGTTTCTAAAAATATATATGTACATACAACAATGAAGTTTTGAGATTAGAGTTGTTTTAGAGCTAGATTTGCTAGCTACTGTAGGTCTAGCTGTTAGCTCGTTATTCTGGTCATAATTTTACTGTTTCTCCAAACTGAGGTTGTTTAAAGAGCTATCTGCAACAGGTAAGATATGAACCATTCATAACTCCTACACAAAACCCCATTTTTTATGAAATCCAAACGATGTCCTCAAAGATGAGAAAGCCATGTTACCGTGTTGCAGTTTTTCTGAACGTTTGACTCTAGCTAACATATGAAGTGTTCAAACATTTGCGACAACAGTCTGGATCCCATATTGCCCCATATTGTTTTAATGCGATGGTCAGCGCCGCAATTTCATTTTGTTTCCTCGTTCAACAAGCAAATGCGTTTCCAGTTGGTGACCCAGCTTGTTTGGCAACGGAACAATCCTCACTCGCTCTTTTCGAAAGCAACTTTCTAAACGTAACAAACACGTCCTCAGTTTGCACAACACAAGCCGCTGCTGCGCCACAGAACGCACACAACGAGAACGGACGCAGCGCCGTCACCTCCTGCCATGGCGCCATGTTTATTTGTTGTCTCACTTTAGCATTCTGTCCCTTCTGTTTGTTGTTGTGTTGCTGTGTGTGCTGGACTCCCTGTCTGTCATACTTCCTCTCCATCCTTTCTCTCCCACCTCTTTCTCACATCCTTTTTTTTCCTTCCTTTTTGGCTGTCTTTACCACTCCATGTTTCTACCTCCCACCTCTTTGCAGACAAGTATATATTCTCGGCCATCATTCTCCCCCTGCCCTTCTTGTTTTTTGTCTCTCAGTTTTGTCCAGTCTGTCTGCATTTCTCTTGATTGCAATCTCTCTCTGTGTCTCTCTTCCTGCAGCACTCGGAAAAGAATTTCAATCCCAACTGCTCTTTTTGGAGCTACTCCAAACGCACCATGACGGGATTCTGGTCCACGCAGGACTGCCGACTGCTAGCCACCAATCGCACACACACCAGCTGCTCCTGCACCCACCTCACCAGCTTTGCAGTGCTCATGGCTCATGTTGATGTCAAGGTATGATGTTTTTTCCCCCCCTTTTTTTTTTCAAGAGGAAGAGAGGTGGAGGCAGGAAGTTATTTATCATTTTCTTACTACTTCAAAGCCTAGCATTCATTGAAGGAATGCACATCACCTGTCACCTTTCATGCCAGAGCTTTAAACCAGTGGTGATTGTATCCTCTTTTTGGGAGGTGCTCAAGCACCTCTAAATTTTAACTCAGCACACCTGAAAAGTAAAGAAACCATTATTAGGATTTTGTAAGGAAGCATAGTTCTCAAATCTTAGATTCACTTTTTTTTTTTTTATAAATATGGAGCAAATGATGACATGGGCCAGTAAAATCTATGTTTTTTTTTTTCGTGAGTCAGTTCATCAACGCCACCTGTCAATCAATCCAGTAGGCTCGTCGGCAACTGACCAATCAGCAACCTCAATTTGTCCCGTAGTGAAACGGCCCCTTACCTGCAGTAACTGCACCTCCTTTTCCTCTGACAACTTTGTCGGGGGTTTGCATTACGAACACTTTGCATGTCAGGGACATTTTGTGAAAAATCAGAAAAACATGGTTAAACATGGTCAGTGGAGAACATGTGATACAGACAGTGTTACCCTGAGTGTTTGGACGCTGGAATACAGTTTATTCCATTTCACAAACTAAACCAAGTTTGGAAAAATGTCAAAGATGATAAAGGCCGAATAAAACAGTTATAAACAGGCGGTACCGCATGTTCATCTAGGTAACTGCAGGTAAATTCTCCATTTTTGTCATAATTACATTGTATATTTAATGGTTAAATTAAATGATAATAATTGTTATTTATGTTGTGTGTTTTATATGTAGATAGATGTTGCAACTTCTGGTTGCATAAGTTTAGTCTGTGTGTGCCATGATCCTATAAAAGTCCTATTTGTGACTGAGCTCATCGTTTATGGCCATACCCCCCTGAACACACCAGCTCTTATCTGATCTCAAAAGCTAAGCAGGGTCAGGCCTGGTTAGTACTCATGTAATGAGTAGCACTTTAAATATAAGTTGTAAATTACTCTCAGCTACAACTGCACCAAATTTAAACTTAATATCTGTAAAACTGATTGAATTATAACCATATTTGTGTTTTTAAGGTCAGTTGAATGTGGTGGCCATCTTGAATTGAATTGCCTGCAAACAATAATCAGTTAAAGATCTACATACATTAATTAATTCCTGAACGTGTCAATAAAGCATGTTTATACATTCAGGAGATATTCTGCTAACAGACAGACAGTTTTGACTCTTATAATTTAAAGCAAAGTTTTAAACAGTTATCACTCAGAGCCTGTTAGTAATTGTTGAGTATCAGTCTTAGCTACTAAACCTTAACTCATTACCTGAAAAAACGAATGTGTTATCAATATTTTTGTGTTTTCTATGACAGATTAGCTGTATCAGCCATCTTTAGTCAGTCAATCAGTCATAGATGAAAGTGTCACAGAAAGCATTCAATGATGCATGAGGTATTTTGCTAATGACACAGACAAAGGGATAAAAACCTTGCTGCTTTACCTCCTCCTTCAGAGAGAGCAACGATGACTGGCCAGACTCTGACTTGTTAAACCGTGACGACAACGTATAATGACAAAGAACTGACAAAGCATTATGTAATACAATAACAATGGCAGAGTTCTCATCTACTGTTAAAAAAGCGAAACAAGCTTCAGATCCCATTTTTGCTGTAAAAGTGTTATTTGATTAGAAGGTGAGAGCATTTATTTGGGTATTGGTGCGCTGCAGTGGGTAGTGGATAAAAGCATTACTGTCCTGAAGTGTGTGGGATAAGCACTATTCAGCTCCCTCTTTTGTTAGCCTGAGCTCCTTTCCTCAAATCGAGCTCTTGTAGCTCTGGATATTGTGCGACAGCCATTGTCTCCCTCTGGGCTGGAGCGATGTGTGTTACATCTAAAGAGGTCATGGTCAGAGCTGGCTTGGCAGCCCTCTGCGAACACTGTGTGAGGTTCGGAGCAGTAGATCCATCACAGCAATGTTATGTTGAACATTGCTCTGCCTGCCAGCTCGCGGGACACTGATGGATAGAGCTAGCGCACCTGTGCAACGCAGCGTAGCGCTGTGGCCCTGAACACTCAGCGACACACAGCAAGACTCGCATCAGTCAGGGTGGGAGAAAGTGAAAAGGGTTTTGACTCACAAGCGCATGACTCGTGTGTTCTCAGCAAACCAAGGTTAAACATAGTCATGGTAGCTGTGCGCTAAAGTTTCTTACACATGATCTGTATTTGTTCCTTTCTCTTCCTCACAGAAAACCGGCAGCATGCACGATATGCTCCTGGATGTCATCACGTGGGTGGGGATCCTGTTGTCTCTGGTTTGCCTGCTGATCTGCATCTTCACCTTTTGCTTCTTCCGAGGACTGCAGAGCGACCGCAACACCATCCACAAGAACCTCTGCATCAGCCTGTTCATCGCCGAGTCACTGTTTCTGGTTGGGATCAACAAGGCCGACCAGCCGGTAAGGAGGACAAAGATAGTGCACACCATAGTTACAAACCCAATACGTATTATAGGCTGGGGCAAAATAGTGATTGGTGGAACAGAAAATAAAACAAAAAACCAAACGTGAAATAAAATGAAAATGTTAGCGTTCTTCAAAAATTCCCTGCCATTCATGCCAGAGATCATTTAAGGTTTGAACAAGATGTGCGCCGATGTCCCCTGTCACAGAAGGATTTGAATAGTAAATGTTTTTGTAGTTTATTAGATGAACAGGGAATGCAAGTAAACAATGTTTTATTGCAATATAGTCAAGTGGGTAGGAGATACACTGTATGTTTGTTTGTTCGAGGTGATGCCTCGACAGATCCTGGCTGGCACAGGGAGGACTTTAATCCACCAACAGGTGCAATGGCAGAGCCAGGGAGTGACAAATGGTAGTTTAAACTTCTGCCACCCTACTGGTCACTCCGATAAATTGAGGAAATTATAGTTTTAAGCAATATCAAAACTAGAAAACATAGTTTCCCTAAATGATAGGGGTGGCTGGTTTACATATATATACTGTATACTGGTGGTGCATATGGAGGTAGCCATCTTGGATTTTGATGTGGCAACCCAAGTATCGAAGGGAACCTTTCTGACCCCTTGATGCACTCACACACCAAAAAAGAAGTTGGCCCTTTGCTTATTTTTCAAGTTTTCCAGGTCAAAGGTTTTACAAGTATTGGATTTTTGATGTGGCAACCCAGTTTTCCAACAGAACCTTTCTTATGCCTAGATGTAGTCACTCACAAAAATGGAAGCCAGTACCTCACTTTTTGCAAAAGTTATCACGCTCGCAACATTCACAGCTGGATAGGTGGACAGTATTTCTAGTTCCCCCTTTTTGCTCCATGATGGAGAAGAAAAAAGCAACATTTATTAAAACCATGGCTTAATCTGACCCGGATCCTGTTGGCACAAGATCCGGGAACTCTCTTATTTTGACAGGGTGCGTTCCGGCAACTGTTTGCTTGGATCTGGCAACTGAGATACGATCATCTGCCTCTTTAAGTTAAGCATTTCTGCCTTTACCCTTAAAAAAAATCTCCACCCCTTCAAGAGGGGTGACGCTGTCGTTTGGGGAGCCATGCTTGAACCATGTCGCCCCCCCTCTCCTGCTGAGATGATAAATAAATAACTCCAACACCTCGTCAGCTGCTGCTTTTATGATGCTCTGGACGCTTGTCATCCACAGCATGCATGCAACAAAGAGTATAATCTCAAAGCGAGAGTGATACTTGCCCCCTCTTATCCTTTTTCGCTTTGATGAATTTTGTTAGTTTTATCGATGAGTTTGTCCAAGTACAATTTTGATGTTTGTTTCATTTTTGTTGTAAATACAGAAGTAATGTTTAATACATATTAGGACACTATTCTTTGCTAACAAAATATGTTTTATATCATTAAACAATTTGTCAGGTTCTTCTCTTTTGTGAGCATACGCATCCCAAAGGATCCCCACCCCACCCCACCCCCCCGACCACTATTTGTATTTCAGCATTGATCGGTTTACAAATTAAGCCGTGGTGAAAACCATGTAATTCACATTCTACGTAATCTCATGCAAAACTACAAGATTTCATGAACTGTTAGTGCTCAGAGCATGTTGTGGAGCTAACCTGCCACTGCCACCACATCATTTTAGTGTCTATATACTATATGTGACTAAGTTGTAGACATTTTGATATTGGGTAACAGCGTTTCCCTTAGGCTACTTGCCTTGGCAGTGCTTTCCTTAGCTTTTAGCTAGTGTGCCTGTATTGCGTGTGGTTAGCTTAGTGCTACATCATTGCCAGCAGGTTTCAACAGTGGGGTTGGACATTTCGGTAGGGGTTCTGTTGACAGGGTGGGGCGCCCTCCTTTTATAATGGTAGGGGAAACACTGGAAGGCTAATAAGCCATGCCATCTTGAATTGTGTTTACTCCAAGTGTTTGTTAATATCAATTAGCTGTGGTGGCCATCTTAATTCATGGTGATTCTAAAAGTTATTCATGGATTCAATGATTCAAGTTTCTTTATTTGTCATTTGCTCCACATGTGGTACATGTGGTGGAACGAAATTGTGTACACAGGGTCCCAGTTACATCCAACAAAAGTATAAAATGTAAAAAAAAAAAAAACAGTAATAAGATCTAAGATATGAACTAAGAAAAATGTTTACTAAAATACACTAAGCACTAGTAGTACAAAAACAATATGCCAAATAGCAGCACGAACATGAGTCTGTGTGAGCAGATGAGTACGAATGAAAAACATGAAACAGATCAGCAGCAACATGAAACAGATCAGCAGCAACATGAAACAGATCAGCAGGATGATGTGATTTTTTTTCCACAGTGATTTTCCTGGTTAGATATTCATGAGTCTAACAGCTTCAGGGTGTAAGCTGTTCCTTAGTCTAGTGATTCTACACTTAATGCTCCTCAACCTCCTTCCTGAGGGGAGTGGAGCAAAAAGTGTGTGTGCTGGTTGAGTGGGGTCTTTCATGATGCAGGTGGCCCTCTTCCTGCATCTGGAGGTTGCTCTCTACTGCACACCTGTAGAAGGAGGTGAGGACTGAGCTTCTCAGACCAGCTCGTCTCAGCCGTCTGAGGAAGTAGAGTCTCTGATGAGCTTTCATGATCAGGCTGGTGGTGTTGTTGCCCCAGCTGAGGTTGTTTCATGAGATATTTTGTTAACAGAAAAACAAGATTGATGGCAACAGTTTTTAAAGTTTTAAAAACTCTGTTTTTAAAACCTGGATTCTTGGGTAGGGATGAGTCTCAGCTACCAACACACAAAAAAACACTTAGATATTTCTAAAATTACTTAGTTATATCCTTTTTTATGTTTGATAATGTAGTTTAGCTGTGGTGGCCATCTTGAACTGAGGTGACTACAAAAACGTATTAATGTAGATTTCCAAATAATGATCATTTTGCCTACAGTTTCATTAAAGTCCATTCACTTGTTAATTTTTTTTCCAATATTATACACACATGTACACACACACACACACACACACAGACATGGGCAAAAACGTTATCACTATTTGGCTTTTAATAGAGAGCAATAAATGTTTTAAGGCTCAAATAGTTCATTTTAATTCTTTCCACTGGCATGACACTAATTCACAATGAATTGTTTACATAATAGGCTCAGACGGGTTAACTTTCTGTCAGTGGGTGACCAAATTAGAGCTATGAGCAGTGGCTTTTGAATGTACATTATTTGTGAAAATAATCAAAAACAAACATTTCTTTGGCTGGTTGTCAGACCTGCCTGGATTTAGCAACTTTTCTCTCATTAATTGCTGAAAGGTCCATTGTAATTGTTTTGAACTAATGTGCATAACCTCTTTGTGTCACACTGAGTAAGACTCTATCTCACATTAATTACAATTCACAGCTAACTCACAAAGCATGGAGGACCTGGATGGAGTTAAATTGTTGTACAGCTTGGATGGCCAAAGTAATTTAACAATGATTAACACAGAGAGGCCAAAAAGCCTCATTTGCCTGTTTGAAATCCATTCCAAGTCAACACGAAAATGATTTACTGCACAAAGTGCACTTCACACAGCCCTACCATGTAATCTATTACAGCTCACGTGCTCGCTGAGGTGATGTCACCACCGGGCTCCAGTCTTCATTTGTCATTTTCTCCCTTAGGCTGCAGAAGCTGCAGTCTTGCTCGTTTTGGTTGCAGAATCCTGTTGGTTGTGTGGAGGATGTTAAGTAAACCATTTCTTAAATTACACGTCTCTTGAGGCGCATCTGTGAACGTGACCCGAGTTTGACCACGCACGTTGGACAACTGTTGCACTTTGAGTGAGATCTCAGTTTGCCCGCGTCACTAAAATCACTTTGTGTGAATAGAAAGTGAAATAAAGGATTCTGTAGTTACCAGGAAGTTGACTTTGACACTTTATCTCAAATATTGATTGTGGATGGGCTGACAAAGTAGAGTTTTATAAAGTGTACAACCTGCAAGACTGAGACTGAGAGTGGAGCTGCTGCCTGAAAAACACAATAAACTAGAATACAGTGTACTGCGCACACACACACAC